TGCAAAGAATCCAGCAGAGACGTAAAATAAATGGGAAAATGAGAGCAACTTCACATGGTTGTTTTTTTTCTTAAAAAGTTTGGTTTATATCCTAATTGTTTTTTTCTTAAAAATTTACATCTTACAGCCATTCAGCTTAAACTGGTTTGAATTTAAAGTAATCACAAAAATGAACAATCCAGAAAATATATGGATTTAACAGTTAACTTAAAAAAGCAAAAACCCGCTACTAGCAGTTTTTACACAGCTAACTAAGAGAGAAAATTATGGGTCTCCTTAGGAACTTCTCAACATCAGCTGAGCCAAAATTTAAGAACTTTTTGAGTTAATGCTTTTAAGATGTAACAGGCAAGATAGAGTAAATTAATACCTGCAGTGGATCTTGACATTGCGGTTTGTTAAATAACCAACAAGATGAGAGCTTTTGCAACTACTTGATTATCTTTCACACCTACCATCCATCCATACTTTCCATCCACGCAGGGAGGTGGCTGCTGCCTGGGCAGAAAGTTGGGGGGTCAGCCAATGTCCTTGGCGCACCCCCTAGCTTTCATCTCCTCACAGCTCCCTGATCTTCAGGATCTTCCCTCCAGCCCAGAACTTCACCTTTTTCTGTTTGGGTCCCTTCTTTTTTCCAAGATCATGCCTTTTTGGCATCTCTTGTCTTCTGGCACCTCAAGACTAACTCTTCCCCCAATCCAAACTGTTCCTGTGCATAAGCACAAGATGTGAGCAGTCTCCTAACTGGTGGTTTTGTCTCATGCTTCTTCAGTAACTGGAGGACTCCAGACATGCTACTTTCATTACAGGGTGGCTTACAAGCTGATTACCAGCAGGCTTCAGCTTGAGACCTTGAATGTTCAAATCTGGGCACCAACACATATATCGAACTACCTGCTAGCTGTTAGTATTCATAATTTAAGCTACTTTTTTGCCTACAAGCGTATTTAAGCCTGATTCCACTTCCATTGAAGACACTTGGATTAATTTTACTTTTTTCAATAATTTTCAGTAATAGAAGTTTCCAAGGGCTGATTATTTGTTGCACATAAATGTATTTTTCTGAAGTGGTTCAACTAAGCCTTTACAGTTGTTTGCCCATTGTATTCAATTATTCATGCATAAATAAAACTTCTCCAAAAATGGTTATTATGAAGACTCTAGAAATGTTTCTTGGGCTGATTAAAGGTTCTGTCTGCACTACAAACACCACGCTTCTTAAAAGAATTAAGGAGGCAAATGCATTTTCAAGCTTTAGTGGAAATATTGGAGGGAGTCATGAAAGCAAACAAATAATGACACTTTTTGTTAGCTCTTGCTCTGCGTTAGTATTATGAATTATAACAAATTTTATCCAACCAATTTCTTTTATTTACTACATTAGTAAGTTACCTGGTCAAGGAACTTGAAAACAGTATACAGCACCGTAGCCACCTTGATGGTTACTAGTTTAAACCACAGGCAAAAATTAATCAGTGAATGTACCTAACTTTAGGCATTCTTGATACAAAAGCTAGACCTGTTCAAAGAAAAGATCAAAATACTACACTATGAATGAAAAAAAAATCAACTATTTTTTGTAAAGTCTTATCTTCAGAGAGTCTAAACAGTATTTTTCATTTGCCTGGGGGATTTAATTTCAGACTGAAGTAGACAGCTGGCATAGATGATTTCAGCCAAAATTATTAGAGTTTTGGCAATTGTGCAACCTAACTGAAAAGTCATGATGTATTGTCAAGCCTTACCCATAATTTAAAAGTTGAGACTGGCAAATATTAAAACTTTGATAGTGAAGGCACAAGGATATACACGCAACTTTAAAGGTTATTGCCTAAGTAATACATGCAATATACAAAAATCTCTGTTTGATGCAGAAAATTTTCTCCTAAAGGAAACACTAGTATTGCTTCTTGTCAGCGCTGGCAAGTCAAGAAAATGGCAACAAACCATAGTAAGCATCATAGGACGTTGATTTCTAGTGTCCAGCTTACAAACCTGACACCTTTGGGCAAGTAAGTCCTGATGTTGTTTTCTAAGGAGCTGTAAGAAGTTAAATTACTATTTCAGCTTTAGACTCAGGCTCCCAAGAGAATGATGCTAAATCTTTTAAGTCCCTTGCAAAGGGATAAAATAGCAATGAAATCCATTTACATCTGCCACAGTACCCTTGCATAAATATTCTCTAGTATGCTGAGCTACAATGCGCCAAATGTTCCGTACTGCTATGTCACAGAAGCGTTTCTAAATCTTTAGACCCCTAGCAAGCAAGAGGTAGGAAGGCTCTGGGACTACAGCCCAGGGTGAGACTTGCTGCATCTCCCGTGCAACTGTCAGAGCAGTGAAGAAGGTAGGTGGTTGTGTACGAATTGTGCAGTGTCCTGGCCTGAATGTATAAGAAGGTTTAGTACAGAGGAAGCAATAAACATGCACGTAGAAAATACAGGGGAAGGCATATGAAAAGATATTGCAACCACGCAGTTAAAATCTTAAGCTTTCCATTGCACGTTAGATGTTTTTAGATGCAAAACTGGGTGCACTCACATAACTTAGACTGTAACTGTGCTGCTGAATAACAAGACATTGATAGCTATGAGTTGACTGAGCGAGAAGACAATTACTGTGCTTGATAGGCCAAAGTAGCATGTTTCTAGAATAGCAGAGACCTAATTTATTCTGTGATTTGCTGTCAAGATCTAGAAATAACTTGCTGTTGTTTGCTGATTCAATAACTCCAAGTTTCATTACTCTAAAAAGTCAGATGAGCTTTTAAAGAGATCATATGTGAGTAATCAAGAGTCCCATCTGCCTTTTCATGGTCCTTTCCCTGCAAGTAAACTAGCGTGTAAGACGAAATGACCAGTGGCAGAAGCCTTACCCCACTCCTACAGACATCCAAGGGCAAGGGCATGAGTCTGGTCAGGCCTGGCACTACCTGCTCTGTTATTCTGCAATTAAACTTAGTCCTTACTCATTTAGTCTTCTTTGAAAGAAGAAAAGAGGGACCTGATCCTTCATTTGCAGCTACACTGGGACTCTGATAATGAGAACCTGTGGGAGATGTGTTTCCCCAGTGAGGGCTCAGCTCACCGTGGGTTTAAAGATGAGGTCCCACACATGTGCAAAGAATTTTCCTCAAGGAAAACACTCAGATTAAAATGACGAGACTTCTGTGCTTATTTTGCCTCTTAGGTGAAAAGTTCACGACATTATTATTTTAGAATTGCATATCAGATCTCTTTCACAGTTGCCCTGATTTATTAACCTGTAGCTCTGGGGTAAGGGAATTGGATACTCATATCTGATGTCTACAGGAGCCAAGCATCTAATTTCCTTAGGCTCTTCTGAAACCCCAGGATACATTTCTCAAGTAATTGAACGCAGATTCTTTAACTACAATTCAGAGAAATTTCTTTTTGCTCTGTACAAATATTCTTCCAAGCTTCTTCTTATCACTACATCTAAAAAATATACTGTTATATGACAATAAGATGAAAAAAAATGTTCAGATGCATGCAGAAAAGGGAGTGTTAAAATTAACAGTGAGAAATCACATTTGAAACACTAGTCCACAAAGAACTGGCATCAAAGTTTAATGTAGGTATGTCACAAGAGTTAATTTACTTCAGTATGAGAAGAACAAACCTATAGGGAATTGTAGTATCTGTGATGAAGACCATAAGCACAGTCATTAAATGTAATAATATAACAATCTGTGTCGTAGATGTGCTTTTTTTCTCCACATTAATTATTTTCACAGGTACTCAAAATCCAAATTAGAAGAGGCTTCAAAGCTAAACTATTTATAAGCTAAATAGTTCTGTGAAGAGCTATTTTGTTATGACATATGAATAGTTTCACTCAGGAGACACAGACAATGTATAAACATTTAATTTCTGAGCTGTCCAAAAGCCCAAACTATATGTTCTTACATTGACTAAAAATACAACATCCTCTTGTCCAAGACTTTCTCTGATTCGCTAATCTCTTATTTTCTAACACACAGCCAACATACATTTTCTTCTTTACAAAATCATTAGAACCTACATTCAAAATTATTCATGTCTTTCTGAGAATCTGCTCATATTTAGGAAGAAAGTTTTTTTTTTTTTTACTGCAACCTAAGACTGCTTCTTTTTCCCCTCTGTTGTGCATTTCATATACTGAGATCTAAAAACACAGGTTCCACTCCCTAAATACGACCAACAGCAGCCACACACAGTGGTACGTAACAAAAATGAACATGGCAGCTGTTAACAATCCTGAGACTGCTGCAGAAAGAAAGCAGCTACGTATACCTACAGAAGGGCAAACAAGCTGCATTACTGATGAATTACGTCTTCAAAATAGTGCTAGATCGTAGACAGTCATCAGTACTGGTTGTCTGCTGAGGCCTTTGTGTACATCCTTAAACTCTCATGTTTATGAGGAATCAAAATATGGAATTCTCTCTAATACATACAACCTTCAAAAGCATTATGCTGTTTGACTTTCCCATAATCTCTCTCTCCCCAGACTTGGTGGGTATTTCAGGATGATATCCACTATCTATTTGGAAATCTTTCCAAAATTTGCTTTTCCTTATTTAAATGGCAAATAAGAGGGACTAGGTCATGGTTATGACATTGCCACAGAGTTTCCATAGCAGTTTGTTTAGGTTTGCTCACTATTATTTTTTTTAATAAGTGGAACTTACAAACTTCAAACAATAAAATCATCACAGAAATTAATAAAAGCAATAATTTTTTAAAAAAAATATTTAACATAAAGCAAAACTGTTGAGAATAGCTATTCCAATGAAAAGAAGTAGAATTTATAGTAATATACATTTGCCAACACAGGAGAGCTATCAAAACCATGGCAGCACAGTTTTTTTTACACTGGCACTTTTGCCAGCAAACTATCACAAGAAGCAAGCTATCCATCTCTCTGACCTTGAAATAATACTTTTTTTCCTTATTATACCTTCAAAGGGTATAAGATTACTTTGTCAATTAAATTACCTGTCCCAACGATCTCCAGTCCAAGCTGGCACTTCCGATGTACACGTGCTGTTTATCAACAATCCAGAAAGATGACTGAAGCCGACCTTCGTTATATGCTGACATATTCATATACAACACTTCAGCACCTAGAGATTTAAAAAATAATAAGCAGCACTGTTTAAAATATAATTTACATTATCAAAAAATCCCACAACTTCACATTTCAAGGCCTCAGCTTCCAAAACTAGAGAAGGATGTAATTAAACATACATTAAGTTTTAAAATCAATGACAAAGAGTGTTACTGTCCCACTACTTAAGACCTTAACTAACATATATCCCAAAAAGTAGATACAGGGAACATTCCCATGCATCATACTGTTCACATAAATTTCTTCCATTTTAGAACCAAATAATTGCTATTTTTTCCAGGACTGTATGTTCTTAAAATAGTTTATTTCTAAAGGTCTATTGTGTAACTGAAATCTGCTACATAACATCATAATAACCTTGAAAATATGAACCCAGTTACAACCCCTTCCTGGAAAGCAGACTCTGCTCCTTTGCTCTGTGCAATGGCTCAAGGAGGCAGCCTATATTGGGCTGCTGCATGGAACAGTCCCCAACAAGAGGAATACGGATGGAGAATTAAGGAGTGAGGAAGCAAGCAAAGACCTAAAGTATGCTGAAACTGCTTTTAATCTTGCTAATCTATGACATTCAACCCATCGCTTTGAACTGCACAGTTTTAGTAAGGATTCTAGGCCACTGAAATCAAAGGATCTGCTTGTCGGCTAAAACCACGTTGGCTCTGTCACATCAGCAG